TCTCAAAATATTCACGTTCCTGGGATGCGAACATTCGCCTCAATTCGTGATGGGCCTCTGTCAAAGCGACTGAAGTCAGGTGTGGACACCGTTGCCGACCTGACATGTTGTACCCGTTCGCGTGCGGTATGAAGCAGTCTGCTCATTTCTGTTGTTAGAGGCTCATTATAGGCTACATTCAAATTCTTGAATCTTGGTTCTCTGGTTCGCAGTCGATCAATAAGCGCAATGACCACGCGCCCCATACACTGTGCTGAGGCATTACTTAGGCAGAGTAATTAGTCACGCGGGAAGGACGAGAGTGGCCAAAGGTTCCCCTGACGGCGAGCCACATTGCCGAGTCAACATCACAACAGGAAACGAAAACAGTGATGAAATTTCGTAAATTAATTCACGACAATCGTGTCCTGTACGATCACCAGCAATGAATGCGGGTCCCGCTAATTGGGTTAGCCACATGGCGTCGTATAAATACTGCACCCCAGACGCCCTCATCGCCCTTATCTGCGACTGCCTCTGATGAGGGGTTCGAGCGAGCATCCGAAACGTCAGGCCAGTAAATGCCCTGTTCCAGGGATCGCATCTTCTTCTCCCAAACTGCTTCCCGGACTCGTATCTTAGCTTCTATTAAGGCGAAATTCCGCTAAACACGGAGGCGGTGAGCCTCGCAACGTTTCAACACGGCAAAAGAATGATCTGTTTGATCATTCAAGATTGCCACGCGAGGCTACACAAATACCGTCAGAAAACTGACCAAGAGAAGACCATATGCTGTGAATTTAAGGGCGAAAACAGCAAAAAATTGCTTCAGCAGAGAGTGCTTGAAAGAGATTGTCACAAGCCAGCGAGTCACGAAGCGGCACGAGAGAACAAATTCCACAAGCTGTACAATCCAACGTCATCCAGAAACGAAATACTGGTACACAACCTCTCGTCGAAAGAACTGACGAAGGAGCGACTACAGGTTCTAAAGCACGAAGTCTCATTCCACACGGCCGATGCAAAACTTGCTAACATGATTGCAACTGTGGCATTGGTCATCAATCAGACGGAAGCAACGGAGGAGACAAAGAACCGTATCCGACATCAGGCATCGCCCCTCCTGATGGCTCATCAACCGCAGGAAGTGCTCCCCAAGGTCGAACGCGTTGCACTAAGAGCACCCAAGGCCGACTGGGACATCTTCATTGTGCCAGCCAAAAAGGGACGTTCTACTGTCCTACTGGCCAGAAGGTAAAACACTTACTGGAGGGTTCACCAGTTATATGTTCCGTGTGAAAACAACCCCTTCAAAATGTTCATACGACAAACGGCCTTGGCGCGCTTCTAAAGGCGCACGAGGACGCTCCTCTCCGACCCATCGTATCATTGAAAGGCACTCTAGCGTATGGAATGGCAAAGTGGCTGTTTCGGCGTCTCAGATTTCTGACCACTGATTCGGAGACCACGGTTCGCTCATCAGCACAATTCTTGGAAAAACTTAAAGGGTACATCTCCTGACAAGTGATATCATAGTTTCCTTCGAGGCCACATCCCTTTTTACTTCTATCCCTCAGGATTTTGCAGTCGAGACCGTCAAACTACTCCTACGAAGCAAATACGATGAAACGGAGAATCGCCTCGGAGATGCCCAAATCCTGCAGCTCCTGAAGTTCTGTCTCAGGACGTACTTCACGTTTGACGGAAAGATTTACGAACCGGTGAAGGGAACACCAATGGGTTCAACGATTTCGGGGCTAATAGCCGAGATGGTCCTACGACGGTTTGAGTTGCTGGTCTTTTAACACCACAGACTGAAATACTGGGCGCGGTATGTGGATGACACTTTTTTCGTCATCGAACGGGGTCAGGTGCTTACGTTCAAGGAACGTCTCAACAGAGTCTTCCTGGACATAAAATTTACGATGGAGTAGGAAGAAAACGACCAGTTGGCTTTCCTTGATGTCCTCGTCTGTCGTAAAGATTGTGGTGGCAAACACTATGCAAGTACTGAATTACAATACCAACAACCTAATAAGCCACAAACGAAATTGCGTAAGGATGGTCTGTG